TTGCAAAAACTGAATTGTATTTTACTAAACAGAGACTCCTAAATTTTTCAACTAGAATTAAGAGCAAATGCTAATCTGAGCAAACACATTCATTAGTATGTCCATATAAAATGCACTGAACACATCTTTAAGTTAACTTTGGAAAAAAAATAGTGTTATGCCATTCAAAAAGTCACATCAAAATGTTTGCTCTAAAACATCAGAATAATCTTCTTAACTTTGTGATTCAAGTCTTACTTACCAGGATTAATCCAGTTTGCTTACTTCTTCATTTGTAACTCCCAAATCCAATATACCTTCTCTGCTGTACAGTACAGCAAAGCACTGAACCATGCTTTGAAATGTTTCTCACAGTGAACTGAAAACATGAAGTACCATGAGCTCCTACAGTGTCAAGAAAGTGGAGTGCTAAATATGTTATTAGGTCCTTTGTGTTGTGGAATAAATATGTATCTTCAACATCTACATATATTAGATCATTTTAGGAACAGACTAAATTGGCAAGTTTTGTTGTCTTTCTTCTCTTCCTCTTCTTTTCCCATTACTTAATAATAAATTTATCCATAAGATTTTCACACCAGGTTATTCTTCACTGCTTTTGCATTTTTTTAATATCATGAGCTCATTTTTTTTTTCTTTTTTTTTTTTTTCTTCTTTAAATTCAAGCACAGTTGGCCCTCATACCACTGAATCTATTCATTTTTCAACAACATGAGTTTTGATTTTCCCCATCTGTGATTTATTTTTTCACAAAAATAACTACAAATGTTCACAAAAATACTATCCATGGTACTGCACTGTAGTCTTTGGAAAGACTTTAGTAGATCATGTTCATAACTGTTTCAAGGACACATCCATCACAGAAATTATTTTCTGTATCTTAATTTTAATGCCAACCCAAAATATTTTCCAATATAGCTGCTTGTTTTTCACAAGTAAGGTCACAAGATCAGATGTTAATACTTGTTAGTTATTAACTACAGTGCATTAATTAAATGTGTATTTTACAGTTAAAAACATTTCTGTTTCTAAATAGCAGTATTTCTGCAAAGGAAAGTTGTATTTCACTAGTTTACTACATCTTCATAAATGTGTTCAAATTGAATAGCTGAAAGAGATTGATATCATTTATTTAGACTTTCAAAAGCTCCTTGACGTGAGGTTACAAGAGGAAGTGTGCAGTCATAGGATGAGATGCAAAGAATTAGTATAGACCAAAAGCTCAGCTGGAGACAGAAAGCTAATATAAAAGGACCTGCTTTCATATATATGAAAATTGACAATGATGAAATGGTCAGTGGTAAACTGATGTTAAATAAATTTCAAAGTTGGTAAAAGCAAACTAACGATCACTGAAGAAGAAAATACATCTTACGTGGTTCTAAATTACCTGTAGCATTGAAGGAAAGGGTATTAATCATCACAGCTCAATGAAGACCCAAATTTCATATCCAGTTGCTGTCAAAAGCAGAGCATAATATAAAAGGCAGCCAGACCCAGCACAATGTGGAATGACATACACTGTATAGAAAATATTAATATGTAAATAAATAATGTATAAAATAATATATATGGATTTTCCAACTCAAAAAGGCTAATAGATTAAAATGTCTCAGAAAAGTAAAATAATAACTGGACTATTGGAAGATGTCAAATGAAAACATACTGAAAAGATTAATCTTGATACCATCTATAAATAATGATTGATATTCAGAAGGTAAATGGAGAGATTATTTTCTAATGCAAAATGGAACTCAATTCAAAGTTCTTTTTCAAGACACATTACAAATTTTAATGTAATGCACAATATCCTTTGAAAGTCATTTTTCCAGCATGCCATGAAGTTTGAGAACATAGCAAACTTCAAAAAGAGAATTTTTACATGCATAATAAATATAACCAAAATTATAATAGTTAAAAATATCAAATTTTCTGTAAGCTATCAAATGTTATAGAAATTTAAGCCACAACCTAATTACAAGCCACTGGAGAAAGAGAAAAAAATCAAAGGGAAGGTTATTTTATTTGTTTTCAGTGAAGCTATTGTCTTTGAAGCTAAAACTGCTGCGCTTTGATGGAAGAATATATCACTACAAAAACTTTACATTGTCTCCACAATAGCAACCCCGTTTTTGCCAGCATTCTATCCCTAATTATGACTGAAGAAGTGAAGAAATTTTACCAACTGAAGTAAAGAAATTGACCTCATTACTACCACCTAAAGAATAAAAATCTTCCAAAGCAGACTGGAAGCTAGGTTCATGTTTCTAAGATAAGCATTCTAAGACAAACACACAAAATCAAGAAAAAAATGTTTAATTTTTAAATGGTTGGATTGATGTCATTTTTCTGAAATGCTTCTGACAGCCCTTTTATATATTGTCAAATGGCACCAGATAACTCTTGAAACTTAGTGACAGGATTTCTGTTCAGACTTTTTAGCCCTTTCATTAAATACATATCCGTAACAAGGGGATTTTATTATAATTTTCATTAGAACATATACAGAGTGCAAAGTTTACAGACTTTTTTTTTTTTTTTTTCTTTTTTTTTTTTTTTTTTTTTTTTTTAATTGGTTTTGGACCATTTCCTTTTAAAAATAATGATTATCAATCAACAAATACATATCCTGCTTAAATTTTCTCACCTTGACTGTAGCTCATCAAAACTGTTGGTGTGCTTTCACATGGAAACATTTGTATATTGCTTCAGACCACACTGAAGGCAGTAAACGTAACAGTCTCCATTTTCATGTTAATGCCACATTACACTCTCCACACTGTCATCAAGTCAATCCCACTGAATGGATAGAATAGACAGTATTTTCACGTTGAAAATTAACTAACCATGTTATAACAGCTGCTTGAAATAAGTTGAAATATTTCAGATCAATTTTTTTTTCCTGGACAATTAAAAGAAGGGGACAGTGAAATTGTTCCCAGGCAGAAGGATGATGTAAAATCTTAGAACAGACAGAAGCATTTACCATTGAGGCAAAATAGGGAGCCTTTGGGAGACATGAATCTTTTCAGTCCTCTCTGTCATGGAGAATGCAGAAGAGTAGAAAGCTTACATAGTTTTACTTGAACTTATTTATTCTTTTTCAAATAAAAAGGAAGGAATACTAATGAGAAATAGGGAAGGGTGGAACTACTCTGAGCAGTGAAATGATGCTGCAGAAAAAAAAGTTGACCTTACTCAATTCTTGTTCTCTCACAAGTACAGTGCAGGAGAGAGTAAATTTTGCCTATCTCCCGAACATTACTTAAGCATAAACCATTATGTAAGCCTCAACAGCTCAAGTGGTTTTGACCATAGTTGTAATCATGCATATTATTAAAGGTCGCTATGCAGTGCAGTGTAAATTAAATTCTTCTCCAAAGATGTTAGGGTGAGAAAATATATTTGTCTTATCTTCTGCAAAAAACAAGGGCAAAATGCATGCATAAAACTAATTTTTCTTTGTTAAATTTTTTCTCCCCCCAAAAAAGATGTCTTAATATAATTTCTAAATTAAACCACCAGATCAAGTGGTTTAATTTAGAAATTAAGCCACCAGATAGTACGTCATTAATAATGTGAATTATTAATAGTATGTCATTAATAATGTGAAATGTGATCTCAGAAAATTCACTTTATCAGCCCAGAAGCTGACAATGAAAAACAGTGGAAGGCTATGAACACAGTCATACAGAGTCTGACCAAATATCTTGTTTCTAATGGTGTCAAGTACAGACATTTACAAATGAATATAGGAAAAAAATATGGAGTCAGACATCTGTCAGAATATCTTCCTGTCTTCTTCAAGAACTTCCAGAAGATCTTACAAAACAGTTTGAATGGATAATAAACTGAATCTTGGAAATTTGATGTTTGAAGTAAATGCCAAGGTAAAGAAAAATAATAACCATATGTGACAATAAAGGATTACAGATTATCCATTTATACTCAGGAAAGAGAGCTTTAGAACTGTGGATAGGTCTCTGAAAGCCATTACAACACTGTTGTCAGAAGCATCAAAGTAGTCAAAATGTAATATATATGTTACAAGCTATCAGGAAAAGAAGACAATAAAGAATTACATCACTGTGCCTCTGTACAGAAGTCTATATATACTGGTTTATAAATACATACAAAACCACCTTCATCCACGTGGAGCAGGGGCAGAGAGGGACCGAGAAGGAGTGGTGGAGATGAAGTGCTACAGACTGACCACAACCCCCAGTCCAGTCCCCCTGTTCCCCTGCGCTGCACGGGGGGAGGAGCTGGAAGAGCTCAGATGGGGGGAAGGAAGGTGTTTTTGGTTTCTTTCCTTTGGTTCTCACTTGTCTAGCCTGGGAGTAGTAGTAGTTAGGCTGGAAATCTTCCTGTCTCCCTATGCTGAGTCTGCTTTGCCCATCACGATCCTTGTTGAGCGATCTCCCTGTCCTTGTCTCAACCCTTGAGCCCTTTGCATCGTATTTTCTCTCCCTTTCTCTTTGAGGAGGGGGAGGGAGAGAGTGGCCGTGATGGAGCTCGGCTGCCCACCCACCGAAAAGCACTGCAGCTGCAAAGTACTGGAAAAGTTTTCAGAAGCAACAAGGTGTTTAACAAGGAAATGTAGAGTTTCCTTTTTCAGGCTTCCTAAATAATTGGGCTTATTTCATACTCCCAACTCGGAGGAGCAGAATTGTTGATTTCATCTTCTTTTTTCTTACTTGGAAATCAAAGGTGAACAGCTCTAACAGTAAGGGGAACGTATCAGAAGCAAGCTTTTTTTTGCTCGTAATCCTTTCTTAAGGAAAAGATTTATCACACACCTTCCACAGATGTAGGGGGGCAGAGAATAATTTCGGAACTACTCCAATTAAAGTCAGCTTGGGGAGAGTGGTACTTCTCTACTTGTTTCTGAGACATTCGCATTAGCAACAGAGAGTGTTGTGTTGCCGCTGCCAGGGGCCTACGGTGATGACTTCAGAAACAGAATTGAATGATGTCACTGGGACACCTTGGTAACAGCTGCCTCTGAGCAAGTTGAGCGAGGAGGGACAGAGAAGTGTGCTGGATGAAACCACGTGAGGACTTGTGGATCTCACGTTGAGGTGCATCGAGAGGGCCCACCCTTCTGTAAGTGTTTGGATGCTTCATTTTAGTCTTCTGTAGTTTGTGTCAAGTCCTTTCACAAGCATGAAGTTTGGTACTTTGGCTCAGTGATGTAGCTGCACAGAGTGACAGGTGCAACATGTGGCTGAGGGCCTCTGCACGTTCTCTCTTTCCCACACACGATCAAGAAAGAAGGGTAGACAAATAAGAGTGTGCTGTGGTCCTGCCATAGACCTCAAGTACTACAGCATAAACAAGAGACTTAAAAGTAGCCCATCACATTAAACTTCAGGACAGCAATGCACTTCATCAGCTGCTCTGGCCTGTTGAGTGGAGTGTCTCAGGATGGAGTGTATGAAGATGCACTCCATCTGCTTTCAGATTAGCACTTGCAGTGAGCAAGCTGCCTGGCCTTAACATTTTTCATTCCATTTTTCACCCGACTTTTGCTGGTTCTTCTTGGTCTAGAAAAAAAAAAAAAAAAAAAAAAAAAAAAAAAGTGAACTCAGATCAAAATAGAAGGATTTCCTTTTCATTAATTCCATGTTCGTAACTTGACAGATTTGGTTATTGACGTAGAAGGGACGTATCTGGCCTGACTGCAACACCCATGCTTGCAGTGTGGGACAGTTCTCATAAAGGTGATTCAGGGTAGTTTCTGGAAACGAAGACATCAGATGGCAAAGGTAATCTCCAAATCTCTTTTTTTTTTTTTTTTTTTTTTTTTGTGCTAATTCAGGAAAGGCAAGTAAGAGTAAAAGTAAGAGTCCAGATAGTGTAAGAAGCAGCAGCTGTGAAGGAAACTTCCTTCTGGCTGATATGGCTCCATATCTAGTTGTGGAGGTCATAGTGCAGGTGGAAGCATGTTCTCATCCAAATACTTAGCTCTCTGTTTTCACAACAGGTCTAGCAGCAGAATGTCTTTGAAACAACTGTGCCTATGACCAAGTTCATGCATCGTGGTAGACAAGGTAAAAGCTCTGGACAAGCAAAGGGGAGGGATGGATGGGCATGCAATACGATCACTTCAATCTTCTCTCTCTAAGAAACCTTACTGAGAAAACAAAACAGAACAGAACAAAACAGAACAGAACAAATGAAACAAACAGCTAGCTTGCTGGAGACATTGTCTGGGAAACAGTGAAAACACTTGCAGACAAAAACATATCAAAGGACTAACACTTTGAGCTTAATTCTAAACCAACATCCTCAACTCCAACTCTTGTTTATGTTCATCACAGACTGGTAGAATAACATGTCACATTTGATGACTTTGCAGCATAGATGTCAGGAATGCAGCTTGGGATCACCTGCTTCTACTTAGAGTTCAGTCTGAAGGGATGAGCAAGTAATTGTTCCTGGGCTGATGGAAATCTGTTCTAAAGTCTGTTTTCTAACACTCTTCTAGATGCTTCTCTGTCCATCGCTCTGACCTGCCAACTCTGGTGCAAGTGTGCAGTTGTGGCAAGAGGGATTTCCTAGTCCTGATTTGACCTGGTGGACACCAACTTTCCTACTCAATTGCCGATGTTGCTGAGGAGGCAGCAGTATCAAAGCCCTTGTTGATGAAGATAGAACAAGTTTGGGGAGGCTTTGGCATTTCTGCACAATGCTGCTTCCTGATTGTGACCCAAGACGCAGATTCTGAACTAGGCAAAGTAAGCTAGAGTAAGCTAGACTGCATGTCCTGGTCATTTTCTTTTCTTTCTTTATTTTTCATTCGTCGCTTGTAAGAAAATCTAAATCTTTCAACCATTTGTTTGAAAACACAGTTTTATGGAAATGATTGTGGGTGTGCTCCTTAACCTTGTTTGGAGCCTGTTTAACCTCGCTTCAGTTAGAGGAGACCTGTGCTCAAATTTATGCTTACCATGATCAAGTGGCATCCTTTTTCCTTTTGGTATTCTTGACTTTGGCGCTTGCAAGTGAGGTTGAAAAGAGTTCTCAGGATGATTCTTCTTTTCCTTTGCAGTATCCCAAACTCCAGATTACATCTGATCTTCATCTCTGATCTGAAAAGCTTCGCAGGCCAAAAGAGAATTGAGATGAGGAGTGAAATACAGAATGCTGGTGAATGTTTCCAGTTCCCACCCGTAAGTTTTGTGAGAGAAGCAGGTGCGTTGCTGTAGTGGTAGGAAGTCAATAAGATAACGATCATGCCCTTGAAGGCGAGTAATGGTAGAAAGATGAAGAATGCAAGGCCCTGCTTAAAGACAGTCTTTAGGCTGCTTCTGGATCAGCAGTTTGTTTGGTTCTTGCACAGCCTCATCTCCACTTGCTTAGAAGCTGTGAAGATGGGAAGAACACTTGGTGTTTTTCATCCACTCTCAACCTCATCTCCATTTCCTCCGAAGCTGTGAATATTGGAAGTACACTTGGTTCTTCCAATGATGTGAAGAGCCAAGTGTCTTGGGTCTTCCATCAACTCAGAGATAGCAAGAGAATAAGGTATTTGCTTGATAGGACAGTACTTAATGTAGGTATTTATGAAGTGAAGAAGAACACTGAAACCAGCCAAAGCCGTATCAGACATGGTAAGGCCATGCTTCTGTTAGGAAGTAATTCAGAGTGCTTCCATGGTGTACTTTGGACAGATTAACTCTGGTCCTCTGGACTAAGCACCCCCAAGGGACAATTCTCTGAAAAATCTCTCGGAATGATCTGTCCTTATCTCTTACACTGTAGTCTCCATTAGGAAAGGATAAATATTCATTGCCCATGTGGAAAGGAGCTCCTCATGTAGTTGTTTCTAACCAAAATCTCCTTCTTGTGTTCTGTTGACAGAAACCACTTGGCGAGCCAAGCCAAATCACCGAAAATGGAAGTAGTGGAACTACTTCCAAACCGTGCTGCTGCTTCTAAACCAAACTGCAGTGTAGGTGGGGACAGAGCAAGGGGACACAAGCCAGCCAGGGCGAAATTGAAAGTCACCTGTCTGAGCCGCGGAAGGAAGTCAGCGTTTCCCAGTTTGAGACTGTTCCCTGACTGGTCCCACAGCAGCTGGAACGCTTCCGATTGCTGCTGATGGATTCCCATGGCTCAGCCAGTGACACAAGCTGCCAGAGCGACTGAAGCGATCTGGAGTTACGCTTCTCCCCCTTCTGCGTTCAGATCCGTGAAAGGAAGGAGAAGATGGGAGAAGAGGGGAGAAGAGAAGAGAGGGGGAAAGAAAAGGACAAAAAAGGAGGGAAGGGGAGGGAAGGGGAGGGAAGGGGAGGGAATGGGAGGGAAGGAGAGGGAAGGGGAGGGAATGGGAGGGGAGGGGAGGGCAGGGCAGGGGCATGTAGGGCATTGTAGGGGAGAGTAGGCTAGTGTAGGATAGTGTTGGGATAGGGTAGGACAGTGAGGGGAGTGTAGGGGAGTGTAGGGGAGGGGGAGTGTAGGGGAGGATAGTGTAGGGAGGGGAGTGCAGGGGAGGGGAGTGCAGGGGAGATGAGCATAGAGGAGGGGAGTGCAGGGGAGTGTAGTGTAGGGGAATGTAGGGGAGGGGGAGTTTAGGGGAGTGTAGGGGAGGGGGAGTCTAGGGAAGGGGAGTGTAGGGGAGTGTAGGGGAGGGGAGTGTAGGGAGGGGAGTGCAGGGGAGGGGAGTGTAGAGGACGGAAGTGTAGAGGAGCATAGTGGAGTGGAGTGGAGTGTAGGGGAGTTGTAGGGGAGGGGAGATTAGGGGAGGGGAGGGGAGTTTAGGGGAGGGGGAGGTTTAGGGGAGTGTAGGGGAGGGGAGTTTAGGAGAGGGGAGTTTAGGGGAGGGGAGGGGAGGAGAGGGGAGGGGAGGAGAGGGGAGGGGAGTGTAGAGGAGCATAGGGGAGTTTAGGGAGTTTAGGGGAGGGGAGTTTAGGGGAGTTTAGGGGCGTTTAGGGGAGTTTAGGGGAGTTTAGGGGAGGGGAGTTTAGGGGAGTTTAGGGGAGTTTAGGGGAGTTTAGGGGAGTTTAGGGGAGTTTAGGGGAGGGGAGTTTAGGGGAGGGGAGTTTAGGGGAGGGAGTTTAGGGGAAGGGAGGGGGTGGGTATTGGTGGGAAGTAAGGAATGGGCCAGGGAGGGAATGGGAGGGGAGGGGAGTGCTACCCTAAATAAAATGGCCAAATAAGTGACATTTTGCATCTGGAGCCAAATATGTATGTTGCCATTCATTCCACAACGCGATTCATCACTGCAATCTGCGTTTTGCACAGTGCCATGAAGGGTTTGGCATGCACAGAGGTGACTGAGTATTTTCAGAATTAACTTTCCTTCCTAACTGATTTGAGACTTTTGCTGGTGTTATAAATGGCTCAGTCTTCCAAATAGGGCAAGAATCAAAGTTTACAATGTATGAAAGGAACGCATTTCCCTTCAAGCTCTCTATTGAGACGAATTGCTAAAACCTTCCTCACACTGGAATGCAAAAGATCAGGTGATTGGTTAACGTAGGGTTGGCAGCTGAGCAGGGGAAACATCTTCAAAACTTCCAAATATTTCCCCTATGCACAACTCCAACTCCTTCTTCTCTGCTCTCTGGTTGTGAAAGTTTCTGTCACCTGCTCAGGAAGCAGAAGCAGTCAAATGGGATTTCGAGGGATCCAGCTACAGCATCAGTGCCAGTTAGAGGAAGCAATCAATTCCCAGGTAGTCCAGGGTTTGAAGAGAGTTTAAGCAGCTTTCCAAGGAACATGTCCAAGTGCAAAGCAACCAATTGATCTGACTCTCCAGTGAAAGAAAAGGAAGTGCAGAGCAGCAAATGCTTGAGAGAGGGAAACCTTTTTGAAGCACAGCCATTTGGGGCCGAGACCTGTTCATGTGCTAGGCAGTCCCAGGAAGCGTCAAAGTGTGAGCCGTGCTCTCCAGCACTGGCGTCCTGCACTTTCTGGAGGTTCTTTATTCTGTAATCAGAATTCCAACAACCTCCTCAACAGCATACAGATCCAAAACCCACAGACCCAGATCAAACAGCCTCCCATCTGGTTGTATCATTGTCAGGCATGCATTCTTTTCTAGTAACCGGTCCTTTCTTCCTTAGTTCAGATCAAACACAAATAACAAAATTCAGATG